AACCCCTTGTAATGTAATTTTTAGAAAAGTAAACCAGTTTGAAGAATGGAGTAGCGGAAACCATTTACGTATTTGTTACATGTTTTTTTTTTTTAATGCACTGCAGACAAAAGTCCAAGTATTCAACAGTGGGTGATGAAGTAAACATGTTGCTAGTGGAATCATAACTTTGTTTGGTAAGATGCGCGTCTTTGCCGTGAGACGGGTCTCGGTGCTCCCGCGGCCCGGACGTACGTTACGGTCGGATGCTTATTACCCAATTGTGTTCAAACGCTTTAAAACAGTGTCATTAAAATACAATCAAATTAAAGTACTGGTACTAGATTTTATTATATACTGCACAACACGATATGTGATACGGGGTTAGTACTAAAAAAGAAATTTTGCACATATGATAGAACGACGACCTATATATCGATTATCGGTCGACTACCTAGCGTCTTAGAATTGGTGATTTCCTTATAGTATGTAAATTACCCCTATCTTGGCTTACTGTCAAGTATCGCTAGTTTCTTTTATATTTCCTTGTCTTAAAAACGTAGAGGATAGTTTGAATGTCAGAAGTACAGCAATATGAAATTAAAATGAAGTCCTTTGTTTTGTAAAATGGAAATGCTGAAAACTTTTAATATTTCCTTAGGAGCCAATGAATTTTGGTACATATACAAAAAAAAATGTATTAAAAACTGTGTGATAACTGTTTTTATTTCTGTGTTAATCCGCAAATGTCCCTCCATTAGAATTGGTTGCGTAGACCCCCCCCTGCCCCCACGTACGTCTACCGGCAGAGTTGTGACCCATGTTGCTTATTCTACAGTTGAGGTTTTGACTTTTTTCTAAAAATTTATAGTAAGAAAATTAGATCTCGTTAACCCTTTGAAGCTGATCTAAATAATAATTAAAAATTCAGTCTGTACCTGAAAGAAAACACAACAGACCTTCACTGCAGAGACCAGTCGGTCGATGCCGTTTAGGGAGATAATCACTGCAAATGCAGTCAGTGGGTAAAATACAGAGTTACTGATCATTAAAGTAGGTGGTACATATAGTTACCAGTGGGCTTTAAAGGGTTAATAGCTGATAGAAGAATTTTTGTTGTACGTGTGTATTTCTGTGAGGTGCTTCTGGCTTGGAGCGCGTAAAGTTTGGTACGTCGCCAAAAGACATTTCTTGATGCCACGAGCGTGCGTGCCCTAAAAGCTTCCATTGTAATTTTTCAACTTTCTTCAAATACCTCGTCTTTAATTGCCGATATTTTGGTGGCCTACTTTATAACTTGCGTGAATTTGAAAAGGAATGAGTGGCTTTTGCAGTACAGTAGACTTTCATTTCACCGTCGCTCACGTGAAAATATCCTCGAATTTGGGTCACATGTTTCGGGATTGATATTAGAATTTCAGGATAATTTTGGTTAGGGTAGATATGTATAATTGCATGTGCATGGAGAAGAAATTATTTCATTATCATCATCATCATCGCTGGTAATCTTTCCTGGTGTTTATTTAATTTGTGGTTTGTGCATTGCAGTCATGAAATGATTCCGACGTATTGAAATTGGTCGTAACGATGCATCAGTAAACATGTTGAGCGCCTTTACGTTCCCCGATGTCTGCTTAATATTATTTAGTCTCTTGAACAGTGCATTAAATATAGGTGTAATCTAAGGTTTTGTTGTAAATAACTGAAAAGAGTTTCTTAAAAACAATCATTAAAAAAACTACAGGCGACACACTTCTTCCAGAGCACTTATAGTGTGTAGTGAATATGCCGGCAGTGAAGATGGTTCTCTGTGTCATTCATTAAAGATGTTGCAGAAGTGTCTTTTTTTCTTTTCGTGACTTTCTCTAAAGGTTAACTGTTTGCTATGCCCAATAAAGTGTGGATTTTTTAAAAAAAAAATTGTTCGCAGTAGTAAATTCAATTGAGAATGTTATATTGTGCTGTTCTGATGTGAATACATTACCAGAAATTGTTCTGCTTGTGGCAGAGACTGCGTTTTCTATCAATCCTGACCTTTCCGAGTCTTCGTTTGTTCGACCTGATGCCCTGGTTATTGCATTCTTTGAATTTGAGACTATTGGCTTTTGCGTTTGTGGGGATTCTGCGCTGCATCTTGCCTTTTCCATGACAGGAATGAATGAGAGTCTACTGTAAATTGCTTCATCTAAAATGTAACAACTTTTAGTAGGAGTTGAAGGATGTATCTTATAAAATTTGATAGATTTGGGATGTATTTTTGACTGGTTTGCAGGGTTTTAAATAACAAAAAAGTCACAGTGGGTCAAATAATACTTTCGTAAACTTTACGTTGTAATCTTAACGCTTCCAACGAGCAGAACAGAATGGACATTGCCATGTCAGCTCGTAGACTGCCATATAGTCACTATTTAGGTCCTGTGCCCATAAATAGAATGTCACTTGCCAATTACCACTGTCCTTGTAATATATATTTAAAATAGTGGTATAAACTGTTGGAAATCTATGCAAAAAGGCATTTGACTTACTGATATTCTCTCTCATCAGTATACATAGTGATACAGCCCATTTAATAACTTACATCTTACTTAAATGGTGTTTAAACAATTTCTATATTGAAGCTGTTGTTCATAACTAACATCTTACTTAAATGGTGTTTAAAACAATTTCTATATTGAAGCTGTTGTTTACAGGTTTTTTAATATACGTCATTTTACCATAAGACTCGTAAAACATATGCTATAAGACATTTCAAAAGTGGTAGTATTAGTGTTCTCTTTGAGCATTTTTATCAAATGAAATCTTTTTATGTAAAGTTGTCTGTGTGTTGCCGATTATACCGCAATAATTACAATGCCATTTGTATTCTGTAGTACCGAAACGACGTATTTGTGTATCAGTTTAAACTGGATTAACAAAAGAATATCCCCATGACGTAGGCGTCATGGTAGGCCAGTGATGTGCTCATGCGTAATCCGTCCCACTTCCTGAGTGGTAAACATTGGTCTTTAGTACAAATCTATTTATCATACGTCTTTGGTGCTTTCCGCTGTACGTGGTATCGTTACTCATTTGTTTATTATATAAGTCTTGTTTTACATCTTCCAGTTTTTAAAGTATTACCAGTAAAGTTTACAAGAAATTATAGGAAGTACGACGTTTTTCGGTTTGCTAGTAGTGCAGAATGTGACGTCACAGGGATACTCTCGCGATGGCTTGTGGGGCCGTAGTTGTATTCCAGGTCACGTGACAACATCGAGATACGTCGATTGCAGTTATGAGTGAATGGTTACATTGCAGGACGATATGTTTACCCAATGTTTTGACTTTGTAGAGAGTGCAAGGCACGTCAATCAGTTTCGGAGGAAAGAGCATGAATTCGGTAATACAAGGTCATCAGATGCATAATAAAATATTTCGCGAAACAAAGATGGTAGACAAACAGCCAACACTCCAACTGGTCACCATGCAAGAGTGTAAACATTCGCGTATCGTTGCATTGTTTAGTTGTATCAGAAACGGAATGGAATATAAATTCTCTTTGACAAATTTGTGTACTAAAGTGTACTAAAAACCAATTCTGGGAGGATCATTCTGTGTGCTTTATCACACAAAGACTAAATTGTCAGGACTGCATTGTGAAAAATGTTTTTGCACAATATGGCTTCCTCTTTAGAATATTATATGGGTCTTGTGGGATCAAAAGATTTGTTCTAACAAAAGTTTATTGGTTATATACAAACTTATCTAAATAAGAGTGAGTTTTATTAGCAAAAAATATTATTTATTTACATTGTGTGAGTATTTTAGAACTAGTTTCTGCAGCCATATGAATTCCATACTGGGGTAACATTCTTTATCAAAGATGAGAATATAATAGAGACAGGTTCTGTGGAAAATCAACAAATGTTCCCTGCGTAAATCTGCTTGTTGTAAAAAATATAACCATATTCACCTGATAATTTACGTAAGGTAATTTTAAACAAAGCCTCACGCGAGTTTAAATGTGTATTTTTGATTTGAAAACTCTGATAATATGATGTGAGGAGCAAATCATAATCGAGAACAACGTGCAACAGATGTGTATTTTTGATTTGAAAAAACTGATAATATGATGTGAGAAGTAAATCATAATCGAGAACAACGTGCAACATTTTGACATTGTGGAAATAGCCCAGATATATGAAAATACATTTTAAAGATAAAATAGTATGGGATATGTTACGATATGCTAGACAAATACGCAATGCAATTCGGTTCTAAATTACTGGTGTGACACAATATTGAATTTGAATAAGGATTTGCAGTTTACGTTTAATCCGGACAGGGATTAGAGGCTTCCCCTAGATTGTTATGTGCTAAGAGCATGAAATACTACTAAGGTGAAATGTGTTCGTTGTGATGGTTCATTCAGCAGGGAACGGAACTTTTGTGGTCGCATCGTGGCATCGAATTTTTCATGGAATAATTCTTATTTTACTCGATTCCGCAGGACATAAACTAGATTCCGATTGGTTCCCTCCTTCCCCCACGCTGACCATTTCCTCCCATGCGTCCATGGTCACATACAGGTGATACAGGTCGATGAGATGCAGAATCCTAGTTAACAGTTTGTGAATTATGTGACTGGAAGTTGGAGCTGCTCTTTGCCATTCTTCTGAAGCATGAAGCCTGAGAAGGTACGTAACACGATTGTAGTTAATTGTTGATTTTGGAAGGTGTGATCAAGTTTACTCTTGATTCACGACGGAAGTGCCAGTTAATTTTTATCCTTTCTTTTATATTATCACAAATCTTACTTTTTACGCTGCGCCGCCATATCTAAATACGTCCCCTATCACGTGACGACGCCATATTATGCACTGATACTGCAATACAACAATGCGGTGTAATTTCTACCGACTTTGAATAAGTGTGTAGAACATATTCCTTTCTGACAAGCTAAAAGTCACTCAGCTATTCAACAAATTTTGTGAAGCATTCGTGTTGTTTATTAACGTGTTCACAAGAGCTTGTCATTGGTACGTATTACTGAATCATAAAAACCCAGTCCACAGACACAGTTTATACATTTTAAATCTACGTCTGGGTGTACCTAGAGGTCCCGTTTCTTAATGTTTTTGGCCAATCACTGGCATGCATGCTACATGCTCTAGACATGTAATTCTCCTTGATGTTATCACCCCAATAATCTTTGGTGAAGCTACAGATTGTTAACTTTATATTGAAGCATTTTGTTCTGATAATTTTACAACAAATAAACTGTAGAAGGATGTATTGTCAGATTGCTGGAAAGGAATTATGAAAGTTCTTGGGTCGTGTGGTCTGCTAGACAGAAGACAATCTTCTTCAGATTCATCGCCGTGAGATCTTGATATGTCACGTGGCGACATCTGTGTTTTTTCTTCACATATTCCTATAAACAAAAGCTTGTCATAAAAATACAATATTTCTAGTTTTGTGTAACTTTCGTGCTCAATGAATGGTTTTTATTATGTGACGTCATAGTTTCGTCTCTCGGCCCCGATCAACATTGATCTTGATCTTCGCATTTATTCTGTTACCCTCGACTACTCTACGTGTATCGTCACACACATTGACCATCTGCGTGCTACATGTCCGGTTGATTTTAATCTTCATTGTCCAATAACTCTGCATGCGTTACAGGATCAGACATAATAAACTTCACAAGCACACAGTTTTATCAAACAGAGTTATATACAGGGTGTCTCAAAAAGATGTATACACAATGCTGAAAGGTAACAGTTGTGTCTCTACATCTTTTTTGGGACGCCCTGTTTTTTTTCAAACTTGTGTCAACCCCATTTATATTTCTACTCGATTATCAAAATTCCTGTGCATTTTAAAGAATTATTTTTATTTTGTTTTCATACATCTCAAAGATGTTACAGTTTCTGTAATCTCAGGGTTTCGTGATGTGGTCTGTTTGTTGAGTGACTTGCGATAAGAAAACATGGCTATCCACATTTTTTTCCTTTATAATTGCCCTGATAATATTTTAGTACTTTAATATTGTATCCATTAATAAGTCTGTGTGTCTCTATTGCAGTAAAATGTATCTGTAGTGGAACATGTCTTTCTCTGAATATTTCTTCAGCAACCTTTGTCCTGAACGAAATGAATTTATGCCACACTCTCCAAAATGATTAGTTACATAATCTGTGACACAGGCAGGGAATTGTGTCTCGAGATTTACGTAACACGTTCTTTTTCCCTTCGTCGAAGATAAGAGAAAAGCGAACGTCGTTAAGTTGCTAGGGAAGCTGTGAAATGTCTGTTTCTGTTTGATGCGAGTGACTGCGGCCCCCTGTTTGCACTCCCGTTTCCGCAACACCAGTCCTGCACGGCAAGGTGCGTCGACCTTACTTTTCTATGCAACTTCACTTCCGGAAGGCTCAATGGACATCCGGTTGGTCGGGGTGGAGCAGGGCAATGATGTTCTCGCGGCCTTGATACAGCACACGGTTTCCCCTCTGCCTCACAAAGAGAATGATGCTCGGCTCTACCTGCGTCTGACCGAAGACTGACTCACCTTATTCACCCGAGATTTAACACGGTCTTACTCAGTCCCCCCAGGCGGAAGCCGGACACTTCGATGGAGCGGAAGTACGCTTGACCTTTACTTCGAAGCTGTACCACTATACGCCATGTAGGCGCTGCTACTCAATCTTAACCTTGGCACTAGGTGGGGTGGGTGGTCAGCATCACGCCCCGGCCGGGAAAGGACAGAGTCGAATTTAGATAGGGTCTACAGCTATGACTGTTCATTGTTTTCCTCAGTTGTTCCAGACAAATGCCAAGATGGCTTTCGATAAAGGTCATTACCGTCTCCTTCGAAATTCAGACCTCAGAATACGATAGTATCTCCACATCTACCAGTACATACACTGCATAACCTCTGCAGTCGAAACATCATTGTTAAATAATGTAATTACAAGTTTTTGTTGGTGATGGCAGTGGCGGGGCTGGGAACTGAGCTGAGGCTAGAAATCTTGCGAAACGGGGTTCTCTTTCTCAGTACCTTCCTGTGATAAGAGGAAAGAAAATAATATCCAGTTAGGTAAACAAACTTCAGCCCTTTGAAGCCGAAGCTCGTACCTCAAAGAAAACACTTCACCATTACAAAGATTAACTAGTTAATGCTGTTTAGGGAAATAATTCACAAACCCCATTGGCTGTACGTACGCAAATAGATAGGGCTATATACAACATAAACATTTACATTAGCCGGAAAAGTGTAATCCAGGTTGACAGTTATGATATTTTTATCACATTTTTCTAATCGGAAGCGGAGATGTAGCTAACGGCACTCACTCTATGACAATGTAACGCATCGCCTAGCTTTGTGTGAAAGTATTAACATGTTACTCAATTTATGGAACGTCTGACGCTTTTAACCTAAAAAGCGAACTGGGAGTTCATGGTTGTAGCGATTATTGGGGCCAACGTTCAGCAATTCCAATATTCTATAGTCAGAATCGTTGTAATTTTTAATGTTATGTATTTTCTCCTTTCTGTTAAATTTAGACTCAGCAGTTTTATTCTCATCCACACGTGTTATATCTCGTATGTGAATAATGAACAATACGGTAACCCTTCTACAGTAATGTTATTACTTTCAGGTTTCTAATTACTGTTTGGAAGTTTTCCTGATCCATTTGGCAGTTATATTTTCAACGCAAAATCTTGTCCATGGTAAGTATTAAATTATCTGATCAAAATTTTGGGAGGTAGGGGTCTGTAATTTATCACCTTTTGGTATCTTCCACTTAAAGTGATGTATGATCTGTCGCTTATGTAATAATCCATATTTTAATCGTTAGGTCAGTGTTTTGGTGGAACAGAAACATACGAAAAGACAACAGGAGTAAAATTTGTATTCGGTACAACACAAGGCATCCTTACACAACCAGGAACTGGTATTACAAGAGACTGCACTGCTATATGTCGTCAAACTCCAACTTGTGCTGCGTTTACAGTTGGTAAGTGTGCTTTATTAAGAAAAAAGTTTATATGATGTTTCGTGGTACCCGTAATCTGTTTACTGATCGTATCGTAACTTGCAGATTATGAGAATTCAAGATGTCAGTCATATAACATGGATTCAGCAGGCCACCGGAATAGTCTTCATGAAAAAATTGGAAGTAATTACTTTGAAAAAATATGTCTTCGTGGAGGTGAGTGTTATATGTGGGATGCATATACCACTTTTGTCAGATTTTATGTATAAATGGAAACTAACCAATATACTGAAGAGATGTATGAATTTTGATTACACCTGTCCAGTCTTGTTTTTGTTAGTAGCATTTGTTTATTTGTTTGCCCTTGTGTAGTATAATTATTTAATATTTTTTTTGCAAGTTTCTCATTGTTATCTTGGTTGTATTTATTATTTTTGGACTGTATCTGTAATTTGCCATTTTGCTGTTGATGCGGGACAGTAAAATAAAGAATTGAATTATTAAATATTTTTATAGTGCAATGTATTTTGTAAATTTCAGTTTCAAATCTGAATACCATGTGCGGAGATCGTTTATGGGCGTTTGAAAGAGTTGTGGGTGCTTTCCTAGAAGACTTTGATGACCGTGAAGAAAGAAATGTACAAACGAAAACTGAATGTGAAAAATTATGTCTCTTTGAAACAAGTTTTACATGCAGGTATGTGTTTCAAGATCCCGTGGAGTAGAGTCCTTTTCGAGCAGCTGATAGTTCCTTAGGCAGTGAAGAAATTCCTTTCCTTTTATGAAACCTGAAAGTTCATTACAGTTTACAAGAAACCACCACTGATGGCTATCTTCTGGGTTTGTAGTGCTGTGTAGTGTGGTGGAAGTAGAGGTCCTCGCTGCCTCTATGATCACCCTAATGATGGAGGCAGCAAGGGCCAGAAGTACCAGAGTACGTGGCGCTACAACCCAGAACACTTAACTGCTCTGTAAACCTGAAATCCTAACCTAACAACTGGTTACCATCCTGCGCTAGATGAATCTAATCCACACTGTAAGATTCAGTTTAATATCATTCAAAGTACTAAAATTTGTTCTACAAATTTTACAGCTCTTATTTGGTGACAAAGATTAGTTTGATGATGGCTCTGATTGTTAGTTTCTGTTTCTCAGGTCAGCCGAATTCGATGAATCATTAAGTTTATGTCGACTGAGTCGAGAAGACCGGCGAAGTCAGCCGGCTGCTTTCCGTCGTCAGCCGGGAAGTACCGTAGACTATCTAGAAAACCAGTGTGTGAGGTGTAAGTAGTAGATAACAGCATTGAACTTTAAGCGTGTTTCATTATTGTAAATCTTGAAAATCATAAAACATGAACAGATGCAATAAAAATAAATTATTCATATTGAATATTTCACCAAAAATCATATATTTTTAATGATGCTCTTCTGTTGACCTTCATCAAATGTGAATATATGATCAGTTTTCATAAAACAGAATATAGATTCCTAAATCAAGTTAAATACGGAATATATAAGTCAAAATATATAGAACTTATATTTTAGTATATATTATTTGCTCCATCTTGTAACAGAAGGTTGTACCATGGAGTTATGTTTCATCACTCACTTAGACCTGCTGGCTGTGCAGTAGGGATTTTTACTGATATTGGTATTGATTTATTGATTCATATTTGATCTACGCTCACCCAATAATCAGCCACACAAACTTCAGAAATAGGCCATATGCACCAAAATTAAACAGACTTGAACATTCTGTAGAGTTTGGGAAATCTCCCGTATAACATACGCACCTTCACGTGATTTTATGCACTCATCGTACATGATTTGATTTAAAATTCCATTATTAACCTGAAATGTGTGAAAACTTGGGAATTCATGTTTTATAGCCCTGCCAGATTGTCGCTACAACGTAAGAGAAGGGAGTGCAGTTATATCAATGGACGAACTTCAGTTTGCTGCAAGTCAAGGGGAATGTGAAGCGTTATGTGACCAGGTAAAGAAACATTTTTATCAGATATAAAAAATAAGGAAACTGGGAAAGATATGTTCAAATAAACACAATGAAACATTAAAAAATATGATCATAGTTTTATGGTTTGTACGTGTAATATTGAATAAGATGTAATGGTATGGGATTCGGTTCAAAAATTACATTGGTTGCTTGCAAAATTATGTAATCATCTGCAAATCAGCTCTTTCATCATTGTCTAACTTAACAACCATCAATTATCTAAAAGAAAAAGAAAATTAAAATTTCTATGGCGTACGTCGTAAAAAAATTCTGAAATTTTCGTAATGGCTGGCAGATGAGGCTCCTCGTAAACATTGATTTCAGTAAACGTTTGAACACATCTCTACTGTACAGAATAAACATTTACAGATAAAATTTTGCCCAAACTGTTCTTTAATGATGCTAAAAGGACAGGCAACTATTTTCAGGCAAGAGGATTCACTTGTCGTGCATTCACTTACGCGATGGATGAAAAGCGCTGTTATCTGAGTGGCGATGACTCCGTTTCACTTAGCAGTGCCCCACTAGTAGTCAAACGGGATGCTGTCTACGCCGAGAAGCAGTGCAGCATAAGTAAGTATGGAACGTAATCAGTTTGATTACCGATTATGAATAATCACTACCTCCCATGCAGTTATAATTATCGTACTTGAACCTCAATCCACTTCCACATACTGGGTGTCCGTATTCTGATTGATTACACTTGTTATCGCAGGTCAGTGTGAAGACGGACTCTTCACTTTTGAGAAGGTGACTGGTCACTTTCTCCGCAGCGCTCAACAAGTTGGTCTGGCTATGGCTGCTTCTCCTGGGGTAACACTGGAATGTGGGGCCCGGTGCCTTGAAGCAGGGTCAGATTGTCCTGCCTTTACTCTGGATTACAATTCAATGAAGTGTTTCAAACTGGATCGTAACACGCAGGGCCGTGGTAGCGAACTTTCCGCCAGGGAAGGGCAGAGCTACTTTGAAAAGATATGCCTCAGAGGTAAGTTAAAATTTTACAAGTAGAGTTATTTAGCTATCTCATAAATAATTCACGCGCGGAAACTGCGTTTTTTTGTTTTTTTATAGTTCACCGTTAGTTTACTACAAAATCAGCTGCTTTACAATTATACATGTTAAGATCTCCACACAGAATACTATTTCTTATCCGTCTTTGTGGATGGTATCAAACGTTCCACGTGTCATGCATATGGTGAAAAATATCTTGAATTTTTAGTCAGACATTTAAGTTAAACCAGACTAATTTATTCCATTTAATTTGCACATAAATTATATCTGGTATGCTATTGGACTGGTAGTTAATATTTCCTTTTAGATGGAACTATACGTCACATTTCATACAAAAATAAATTAAATTGGCTCTTTTTATGTTATTTATAGGCAATGTTCGTGGATGTGAGGGCAGAGCTTGGGCATTTGACCGGCGGCCAGGTAAAGAACTTCGTGGGTTTGATGATTTGAAGTTGCCGTTGGTGCAGAGTCGCAGAGACTGCATGGAGGAATGCTTAGCTCAACGTCGCTTTGACTGCCGTTCGGCGGAATATGACACGCAGACGGCTGAGTGTCGCCTCAGCAGTGAAGACCGCCGGACTCGCCCCGGTGATTATGTGGATGCACCGCCAACAGTTGAATATTTAGAAAATCAGTGTTTAGCAGGTAAATGTTTGTAGTGTTGATAGTTATAAATATTCCCAACAAATAAAACTGAGTCTACTTCTGCGATAGTATTTATGTACCTTTATATAGGAATTTCAGCTATGTGCTTTGTGACGTTCCAGCTGATGCAAGATGCAACTTCAAGTCAGTTCCCAACTCATATCCACGTTATCTGGATATTGTTCTGTCTCTCGTAAGCGATGAGATGGACTGCGAGAGGCGATGCTTTGAGTATTCTGACTTCATATGCCGTTCCTTCTCATATTATCCTAGCGGAAGTCAGTGCTTTATCAGTGGCGATGATAGAGGTTAGTTTTACTATTCATTTACACAGTTCTGTATACAGCACTTCTTTTGTGAGGGTTATATATGTTATAATTTGAATGCACCGTGAAACAAATGAGCTTGGAAATTTTGGTTGGTTGTTTCATAATGAATATCGCTTAGCGTAATTGATATCGTAGGTGAGAACTGAACTGCGTAACTACCAAATACAAGGCAGACATTTGCAACAGTCTAGATGGGCTATCTGCAGTCCTTGCTCTTACGGTGGGCTCCCTGGAGCAATTGCCGTGGATTCGGAAGACGGATGCTTTGTCTTTAGGTGCTAGGTCAGATGGGTTCAGGGTGATGTGTGCTCATTGGGTTAAGTATTTGAGGGAAATGGGTGTTGCATAAGCTCTTGTATCTCAGGGGGATGTCAGAGGACGTTCCTTTCCTGACGTGTTATTCGCAGATGAGCTGGTAGGATGACTTCAGGAGGTAGTTGTGATGCTGTTTCTTGTTTATGAAGAAAGTATGCTGACGTGTGATTAGTTTGTCATAGAGTTGAAGTACATGAAGACTGTTTTTTACAGCGTCGGCAGGCAACGAAGCACTGATGTCTCGGCCAGGCACCAACTACTATGAGCGCAACTGCAATGTCGGAGGGGGTCCGGGACCGGGCACTTCGAGCCCTGACAACCTGCAAGGTACACTGTTCAGCCGTACGGACACAGCGCCCAGTAAGCTCAGAGTGAATACAGTAGTTCAGCATGCAGCACGTGGGCTACAACAAAATGTTCTTTGTAGTTTCTTATCTTAGCTGAAGTATTTTTCTTCTGAGATCGCCTTACTTAAGCACATGCGACTGCATCCTACATTCACTTCGACCTTAACTGGTAATTGGTGTAATAATTTTCTGCTGTATTTTATTGTAGGATCTGTTTATATTTGTTAGTAGATTATGAATTATTTAAACTTTTAGATGTATCAGAGGATGGCTGTGATGATAGAATTTGTAATTGTATGGAAATGGGAATTCAGACTTCCCTTATTCCATTTCAAACCCTGGAACTATTACAAGTTTTCATCCATTCATCTGTTGCAATGCGTAGATTTTATTAGCACAGATTTTGTGAATGTGAACATGGAATAAGTAGTAGGGATGTAAGTGCAACTAACCAACTGGTGCATTGGACGCTTTATCTGATTTAAATAAATGTTCCACATAGTATTTATTGTAAGGCTTCTGAAGATGGCTTCTGGAGAGACATTCACAGCACAGTTTAAGTTACTCTCCAACACTTCATGGACGAACTACAGTGTAATACACACACATATAAGCATTTTCCCTTACTTAATTTTGAACAAAAATGGTGGTGTTAGAAATTGTACGTTTGCTCCGTTACGCTGATCACATATTGATGTGCTGTTCAGTATGTAACATAACAGAGATAGAGTTATTTGAAATATACAACATTAAGCCCAGGATTATATACTCATATAACAGAGAGCAGAAATCTTATGGTCATGACTAACGTAAAGAGAATTTTCATAGATGTGATTTTAGTAAGTAATTCTTCATTCTGTTCTGATGAAAGAGAAGTTAAAGTGTTTCTAAGAGTCTTAGTAACAGATTTAAGACAATACATAAAAATTGTTCTGATTATCACAGGTCGTTGTGGTGCGGGCAGAGCCGAGTTCGAGAAGGTGACAGGCTATGAACTTCAAGGTCAACGAGAGTACCCCCTGCTGAGGGGACATAATCCTGGGCTTGCAGTTCAGTGTTCCAACCAATGCAAGAGTGATCCGCGTTGCCACGGATTCAATATGAACTATAAACTCAATGACTGTACTGCTCTGGAGGGAGATGCTGACCCAACAAGAATCGACATTCGTCAAGTGCCTGGCATTGCTTATTTTGAAGGAATCTGTCTACGAGGTGGGGAGTTAATTTTGTATATCTTCATTAAAAATGCAATTAAGAGCAAATTTAATAATATTTTACTTAACCAGTTAAATGAAAGATTGAACATTAGAACAAGTATTTGAATAAATATTAAGCTTGTGAAAAGTCATTACAAGCAGATATTTCTTTCCTGCCTCTTCAATTAAATTGGTTCGGATTCCCTGTGTGATATGTCAACAGTAACGCACAATTTATGTGCAAAGTCGTAATGAATTGGAAACACATAATAAAATTTCCGTGAATTTCTTTCTCAAACAAGGAGTCGGATGTGGCATGTCCTGGACGTTCGAACGTCACGTAAATCACGAGCTGAGGGGTTTCACAAATGCTCATTATGTAACCGGTAGCAAAACTGAGTGTGAAGACCGCTGTCTGAATGAAAGGTCATTCACCTGCAGGTAAGGCCGCAAGACCAATACTAATTATTCGTCTTGAATTTTCATTACGTGTGAGTGAATGGTAATCAGTGCTTACTGCACATTGTAAAGAGTCTTAGTAATTGAGTAATTGTTTGCTTACGTCTTATGTCTGGCTGTGTATTCTGTATTAAATACTAATATTATGTTTTCTAGAAATGCGCTTTTCTGCTGATATCAGAGTTTCTGTACCTGTTGTAGTGTCTATGTTGTACTATGAAGTTTTATTACATCCAAATAACAAGTCATAGTTTGCCCTTGTGTAGAATAATCTGTAGACAGTGATTTTTTTTTTGATAGCCTCATCTCGTTGCTCTGCTTGTTACATAAATACAAGTGTTAAAATTTATTTTGTGACATTCTGATTGAAAACATACTTTTTACACTGGAGTATAACATTACAGTTTGTACATCCAATCAGTTCATAGTATTATGAAGATTTGTTTTGCATTGTTTTGAAAATTTAACAGTGTTTCTTTTGAATTCTTGCCTGACTGTAGTTAAAGCATGGATGTGTGTGCTTTCATTTGTCCCAGTAATTATTTACGTTACTATCCACAGTTTGATATTCACTGCTACTTCTCTTCATGTAAAACAGTGTGGAAGGCGAAGGTAATCTTGCTAATCCATCTGTACTTAGGTCGGCCAGTTACAATTATCGGAGACAGGAGTGTCGTCTGAGTTCGGAAGATCGTTTTACTCAGCCGAAAGCATTTGAAACATCTTTGGATTCAGATTACCTAGAAAACCAGTGCGCTTCGCGTGAGTTGTTATATTTGTAAAGAAAATATACATATTTTAACAGTACATATTAACATTATTAAAATGATGACATGTTAAACAATGCTGATTATATTAGACATAATTGCAGGCCATACTTGTGAGCTTTTACAATACTTTGTACGAACAATATGCTTTCATTCGTTAACAGCTGTCGGCAGGTGTGCGTACAGAAATTTCCAGCGGGATCGCCAGTTAATCTACACTGATAAGTCTCTGTCAGCTTTCAGCGACTCTAGCTGTCAACATGCATGTGACGTAGAAAGAGAGTTTGTGTGCCGATCTTACACATTTTTGAGTACGGTAAGTAATTTCATTTTTATTTTGCTTCTGAAAACATAGCAAACGTGAAGGCTATTTTTATCTTGTGGCAGAAATTATGGCATATCCCTACAAAATGAACATGTAACAGACTTGAAGTTTCTTCCAGTGACCTTTAGTTCTTTGGTAGCATCTATTTATAAGTCGTATCTGAGATAATTACTGTTTGAAGGTGTGAAAGTAACACCTATGCAGTAACTGATGAACCCCAGATTCTAGTATCATTAAGAACGAAGGAAGAAATCAGACAAGTAACCACCCATTTTGTGTTTATCGAAATGCTTTTTTTTATTCTGTATTTTATTATTCATTAAGTTTTAAATAATATTACTTAGATGAAATATTAAATAAATAATTTGTGAGATTTTGGTATTTGTGCTGTATAAGTTCTGAATGAAATAATTTTATATGCATAGAGCGTAAGTAAAATAATGATTATAAAGTAATAATATGATTCCCATGATATCTGTAGGTTGGAAGTAACACAAATCAGTGCTTGCTAAGTGCATCAGTGGCTTCTGGAACAGAAAATGCCTTTAAACTTCAGAATGGAGCTCTGTATGCAGAGAAAGAATGTGGGACCCTTCGTCCACCCGATTCAGTTCCATTCCCTGGAAGACCCTACCCTCCTGAACCTGGAAGACCCTACCCTACTGAACCTGGAAGACCCTACCCTTCTGAACCTGGAAGACCCTACCCTTCTGAACCTGGAAGACCCTACCCTCCTGAA